ATAAAAATTTGACGTACACGGTGTACAGATCTTGAACGATTCCCTTTCTGAGGTATCGGAACACTATTCTTAGGTTTGCTAGGCGCCCATATGCTGCAGCGTTATTTGATTGATGGTGTGCTTCCCGGAGGGGCATGCTCTGTGTTATATCACCCAAGATCCTTTTCCTTGAGTGAGGTTCGCAGTCTTTGGCCACCTAGCATTACTCTGTCTGCAGTTTTCTTTGTGGCGGGGAACTATGGAGGTCTGCTGTGGGGGTCGAGTTTGTGTGAGGGGGATTGGGGGCAGAGGGTTACAGTGAGTGGGTTTTCGGTTAGATGTTTGGGGTGCATTGGGGTTGTCCTGGTAGAGGTCCTTTTGTGTGTGGTGTGTGTGTGTGTGTGTGTGTGTGTGTGCGTATTCACCTATTTGTACTCGCCTATTTGTGGTTTCAGGGGTCGATTCATAGCTCCCGGCCCCGCTTCTTCACTGATTGCTACTAGGTCCTCTCTTCCCGCTCATGAGCTTAATCAATATTACAACCAGGAGTCCAAATGGCCTTGTTATCCTGGGTGTAAAGGGAGCAAAATAAACAGCAGAAAAACTTTTGACTATTTCCTTCACCAATTTAGAACAGAAGTATGTACACTATATACACCATGTACAGCAATAGGTATTTTGGTGCACTCCACGGTAAATAAAGGCAGAAAATTTGAAGCCCCTAGAGAGCAGACCCTGCTTCAACCAGCTCTAGAATGGGAATGACAAGGACAGACAGGAAAGTGGTACCCACATAACCTCTGCGATTGCCCAAAAACCCTCTTCTAATTGGCTGGAACCTGGGTACTGGTTTTAACGAGGGGCCCCATCGTCAACCCCTTAGTTCCCTGGTTCGTTGGTTGGGGGAGATAGCTGTAAATGAGGGTTTTACTGGAGTTTACCTGGAGTTTACCTGGAGAGAGTTCCGGGGGTCAACGCCCGTGGCCCGGTCTGTGACCAGACCTCCTGGTGGATCAGAGCCTGATAACCGGCTGTTTCCCGGGGTG